TTGCTTAACCTCATTACTTTCTTTTGACCAATTTTTGGCCGCTTCTTTTGAAATAAATTTAAAATTGTTTGTTGCATCATTCGTTTTATTAATTGCGAGATTGTTTGTTGCATCATTTGTTCTATTAATTGCTACACTTAAGTTCCTTCTGTATAATACAAAACTATTTTGAGGTCTTGGAATTTGGTGTCCTCTTCGATTTTTACTTGGTGCAATAAGCTGATAAAGAGGTAAGACAACTGTTTTATTAATTTTTTCTAATGGTTCAATATAATTACAATAGAACAAACTTAGATTTTGGTATGACTCAAAAAGTGTTCTCCAAAATGAATCAATTACTAGTTGTAATAAAATTTTAGAAAATCCAAAAAAATTAATATATACTAACAATAATAAGGTAAGTAAAAAAATTATAACTATTTTTTCTACTTTTCCTTGAGTCTCAGATTTCTCGAATTTCTTATTTATTTCTTCAACTTTTCTTATTATCGAACGCATGTCAGCATGTCATCCTTAACAAAGTCCTGTTTCATTAGAAAGTATCCTTCGATAACGCGATCCATTTCTTGAATATTTGTAAATAAAATATTGTTTGGCAAACTTGCACATTTTTTAGCAATAATCCTCGAAAAAGTGACAGGAACTGATGTTACATGAATAGCCACAGTATTGTCCGGGGCAACTCGTCAACGATTTCAAGAAATTGTTCAATATCACAAACTTTAAGTATTTCTTTAGCTTTGTTGTTGCTGCGTATACTAAAACATAATGTTTATTGTGAATTCCAAACAAAATGTTTCCTGATCTATAAAGAAAAAAAATTTTATAAGTAATTATCATTAATTGCATCCTATTCACCACAACCTCCGCGTGAAGCAGAACAAGCTTTTCGGGAACAGACATAACAGAGAAGGACGTTCACAGACATTGCATGTCTGTGGCCACGATGTGCTTCCAGTTCTCTGATGTCACCCCTAGTGGCAGTGTAACTTCAGATACATAACGACAAGAAATTAACTTAGTGATTTCTCACCTAAATTCAAGAATAATTTTACTAAGTTTCAGTTCCGTGCAAACTTTGTCAGTGAAATCAGTTAAATCAGTTAAATCATTTTTAATCAACATTATAATTAACACCAAAAAACTATAAAAAACAAATCTCATATATTTATCTGACCTTTAATTTTCTCACAATTTCAGGGGTGGAAAAATTGAATTTCGCGAATTAAATTGGCATTAATATATAAAAGGGTTCTAAAAAACATAAACTTCAGTAAATAAGATTGAAGCAAGAACCGAGTTCTTATCAAATGCATAATAATAGGTCAAGTTCGAGTTTTTGGTCTTTATAAAAAAAAAAACTTACAGTAATATAACTGGTTTTTCTAATTTCTGAATTTAGCATTAGCGTTAGTAATTGTTATAATTTTTGATTTAGATGATGTGCCGCGTATAGTACATTATTTTTTAGAATATTCTAGAACAAATGATAAAACTATTCATATCTCTAAAATTATTCCTTGCAAAATTTTGTGTTAGATGGTTTATATACCATATGAGTGGCAGAGAGGGAAAACCTGTAAGTAAATATTTAAGTTATCACGCTGGCAAAGTTGCCCCTGAATGAATTTGTAATCTTACATAATTAATCACATATAAGATCAGTATTCTGGTCATTTCTATAGATATGTGTTTCTTATATTTTTGTAGCACAACGTATATATGTATGTTCTACTACAGTATGTTGGGTTTCAGAAACGACCAGAACAATTACGTAAGATCATAATTCTTCAGGGGATCATCTTTACCAAAGTGATAACTTAAATATTTACTTACAGGTTTTTCCTCTCTGTCATGCACATGCTATACACACTATCGCTATACAACTATACATGATATAATCAAATTCAAACTCAAACTGTATTTATAACTAGTAAACATCAATAAGTTATGGAGAACTATCTTTCCTATATTTACTTTTATAAATAAATATTGCTCAAAATCAGCTAATAATTACTGCGGGACTGATTAACATCCTATTGATCTAGTCAAAAAAACTTCAAACCTTGGCCTTAGACATATGAGGCACACCAAGCTGCCACAATAATTTATGAAGAAATCGTATCTAACCAATTGTTTAAGTTTTGCATGAATCAAAAAATTGGTTCCCTTTTTTAAAGCGGGGTACCATATTATTATGGACACTTTTTAAAAATTTATATTGAGTTAAATAAACAAGATATCAAGTCCAAAATTATATAAAAAATTGTCTAAATCTAAGGCTTTGAAATAAAAAAAAATTCATAAAATTCTATGCAGTAGTTGTTGAAATAGTTAATGTTACACA